TATCACATTTTGTGGCTTCTAATTAAATAACGAATTGAATTAAAAGAAGTTAAATCCATGGAGAAATTATTTTTATTACCTACACAAGTATCAATTTATTTTGAAACCTAATTTTGTTGTTTATATTTAGTTACAGAAGGTCGACCAATTGATACCGATTATAGTATGTTTATAAATTATATACAGCTATACATTTTATATACAATTTTATACACGATTTCTATTTACATTATATATTTTTACTGGTTCATTGTATAATATGACCGTGTAGTAATATACACCTAAAAGTAGATAACAGTACCATTACAGATTACATTCCTTATACGTTTTTTTTGGAGTATTTAAGAATTTTTTTTTGGAAAATTAAAAAAAATATTTGATAAAACTAATGATTTATTTATTTTATAATAAAAAGTTAAAGCCCAGGAAATAACAATACAAGAAGAGTCTCATCAGAGAGCCTGGGTAATTTCACATTATTTTTATTAGTACAAGCGCCCAAACGCCAAATACGAACAAACATTTGGAGCATTCTCGAGCAACTTTTTGAAACTCAATCAGCTAGTCTGTTCCGACGAAAATAATGTTTTTCGTCAGTAAATCATTTTTTTTTTTCATTTATTTTGGTCCTGTCATGTAAATTGATTATCATATTTTTAATTTTTTCCTTTACTCTTCTTTTAGTCGTTTTTTGAATAGTATCTGATTTCCCACCCCCTGCCAATCAAGTTTTTTTTTTATAGCAACTTTTGATACTGACATAGGCCCTAAACTTAAAACCTCAAAAAAAAAAAAACTTAAAAATAATTATTCGAAACAGGCTTTTAGTATTCAAAACTACAATTTTGACTGGTCAATATTGTAGTATATTTTTCTCAATTTAAGTTGATATTGAAATGTACGTGTTACCATTTAGAATTCGAAAATTTCTATCCAAAAAAAAAACTTGTTGGAAGGGTGTAAAATAAATTGTGAAAAATTGAGATCAAATTGTATAAAAGCATTATGAAAAAAAAAATTAATTTCTTATTAAACACTATGATATATTAAGTGGCCATGATAAAGGAATCATCGTTTAAAGTGCTTAAGGATAGTACTATAATTTGTAATTACAAAAGCAATTAAAAAAAAAAAAAATCATTCTCCGAGACAGTCAAACGAAAAATGTTTTTGTCATATATATTTTAAAAGCTATTTCATAATAAATTTAATTTATTAGAATTCCACATATTTCTCTATATCTTTTGGTAAAAAAAATATTTTCTATAAAAAATTTTTGAATATGGAAATTTTAATAGATATTTAAAAAGTAATACTGAAAGTTTTTTTTAAACATTTTTGAGATAAAAATTATAGTAGACCAGATGAGTCTAAAAAATTCAATAGGGGTTTAATTTTTGTATGTAAGAGCTGCACTAAAGTACTAAAAAATCGTATAAAACATGATCCCTATTTAAACTCGTTTAATTTTTATTCTTATTAATACCATTATGTCAATTTAAAGTTAGCAAACATTATTTTGATATTTATAATTTGTTGATTATTATAGTTGGCGATAAAATACATTCAAGTATAGTATAGACAGTACAGTTAGTAGTTGCCTAATGTGCACTTTCTTTATTACATTTGTAATATTTATTTATTATTTTTATAAACCATTAAGTTAGTTCTTTTTCTTAGCACTGTCCTTCTTTTTTCCCGTGATTTTCGTCGAACCCTTTCTCTAACACTATAAGTTCAAACCATTAGCAATACATGAGATGTTTTATAATCATTTACTGAAATTAGTATAGTATCCTTCTTAAAAGTTTTAAAATCGTGTAAAAAATATTATATTTAAAACTATTATTTTCTTACATGTTCACTATTAAAAAATATTTTTTATAAATAAAACCAAAAAATACTATGCCTAGCTAACAATTTAGGTAATTTAAATAATTTTATTCCAAAACGAAAACGTATAATTTATAAATTTTGTTTACTTCAATATTTTTTGTGAACACAGCAATAGCTTAAAAAAACAACGGCGAGTTCTATATTGATTTCATTTTACAGTATTTTTTTCAACGAAACAACTATGCTAGACCAGTTTTTAATCAAATCTTTAAAGTAAAAAATGGTAAATTAGTTGACATAGTCAAAATTTAAGAAAAATCTTTTTTCTTAAATATTGCCTACACAAGGAAGAAGACGAGGCGTTTTTGTTCGACGTGCCCGAGTTGGTGGGAGACCTTGAAGCCATCATCTTATTGCTCAATTTGTTTGCTGGATATTGACACCGTGTGACAGAGAGTGGTATTGGAAAAATATATAATAAAAGTCATCATTTTGTACACATTTATTATTAAGAAGAAACGTATTGTGAACTTTTTCTGTTGTACAAAACTAAAAGGAGTGCTTCCGTTTTATTACTGTACTCGGATGGATACGTTTCACATTGAGTGTATTTAATTTATTACAAAAAGTTTAGAAATAATTAGTAAATTTCATAATTTTATATATTTTATTCTCCAAAAAACGAAGCTAAATAAGTACTATTGATATCAACATTATATTTAACGTTTTTATAGTAGACTAATACCACAATTTAATGAATAATAGTAACCATAGCACGTAAACATTATTTTCCATGTGTAAACAACGCAACACAAAACTACATACAATATATAAGTAGTACAAAGAATAAGATAAACAGTCATACAAATGATAAAACCAAAATTTAAAATAATTAAAAGATAAAAAAATATTTTCATAAACAAGATAAGTAGGATAAAAATATATAAATATATTTAATTAATAGTCAATTTTCAAATATAAACTTACATATTTTATTTTTAAATTATCTTCAAAGACAATAGTGTAATTATAAAAGACTACTAACATTTTATAATAAAATAAGAATAGTAACAATATTTTTTACTAAATTGCGTGTGTAAAATATGCAATTTAAAAATTACATTATAAAAATATAGAAACTAAACAATTCATGTGATCCATTAAAAAATTAAATCGAAAACGACTTAGCTATGTTAATGATCGGTTAAACAATAGTCATAATAAACCAATTAAAAGAAAACTAATAAAAAAAATTAAACCGTAAGTAAAATAATAACAAATAGATACTGGAAAACTATTTTAAAAAAATGCCAAATAGCCACGTGAAGTTATTGAGGCTATGAGTCGTGTACTTTTGCTTGATGCCTTTTGAGTGAATCTTGGTGACCATACGATTTTTCACAGGCGGAGCATTTATATCGTACCCCACCAATATGTATCCTTTTATGATTGTTGAGGTGAGATTGTTGTCTGAATGTTTTTGCACACACATTGCATTTAAAACGTTTCTCTTCGGTATGTATCCTTTCGTGAGTTTTGAGTGAAGACTGAACACCAAATGTTTTTCCACAGACATCGCATTTGAAGGGTTTCTCTCCGGTATGTATCCTTTTATGATTGTTGAGGTGAGGTTGTTGTCTGAATGTTTTTGCACACACATTGCATTTAAAAGGTTTCTCTTCGGTATGTATCCTTTCGTGAGTTTTGAGTAAAGACTGAACACCGAATGTTTTTCCACAGACATCGCATTTGAAGGGCTTTTCACCGGTATGTATCCTTTTGTGAATTTTGAGGGAAGACTGGTGACCAAATGTCTTTTCACAGGTATTGCATTTGAAGGGTTTCTCGCCGGTATGTATACTTTTATGATTGTAGAGGGAAGACTGGTGACCGAATGTTTTTTCACAGATATTGCATTTGAAGGGTTTTTCGCCGGTATGTATACTTTTATGACTTTTGAGGGAAGTCTGTTGACAAAATGTTTTTTCACAAACATTGCATTTAAATGGCTTTTCGTCCGTATGAATGCGCCAATGTCTTCTCAGACTTGATATTGACGAAAAACTTTTTAAACAAATGCCACAATTATAGAGGCCATTTTTGTTTCGATGATTGACATTATTTTTTTGAGGCGCTTTCTTTCCAATGGAAGTACTGGAATGTGATTGCGCAATATGCCGGATTATATTACTTTTGGTTGTAAACCTCTTTTGACACATGTTGCAGTCGAACCGACGTATTTTGTATATATTTTGCTCAGAATTGTTTTTTATAGTTTCAATAAAATTGCAATCCACGGTTTTTGTATTAATTGAGGTATCCGTCGCATTACACGGAAAATTAATACTGCCAAACGTATGAAACAAAGCAGAATAATTTAAGATCAATATATTTAGATGTTATACAACAAATATGTTAGTAATGTTAAATGTCCAACGCATCATTTGGAAGAAATAATTCTATTAATGTATTAATATTAATTAAGACCTGTAAAGTTAATTTTTGACATTTTTGTTTTAATGAAACGCTTTTCATAATAGTGGGTATCTTTAAAGATACACCACTTCATCTATCTATTAAGATAAAAAAAACAATAAAGCATATCTTAATTAATATTTTATTATTTACGTAGAGTAGGTTTTAGTCTTTGAACTATGTATGTAAGTATGTTTATTTGTATTAATTAAGATATATTGTTAAAAAAGAAAATAAGTTAAATGTATCCAATTTTAAATTATGTTTATAAAGTTTTAAGTATTTTACTATTAGGATATTGTAGGTATCATTTTGGATACAACCAATAATTCCGTTTAGGAGAAGTGCAACTGAGGTAAAAGTGTTTATCTAGTTATATCCAATAAAAGTTAGTTTATGGTTTAGTTGTAAGTTAGATTACTTATATTTCATAAAAAATTTTCATTTAACTTTATACATTTATTATTGTAAAAAAAATTTAATTTTATAGAAATTAAACAAACCCTAGTACTTATTAAATTATTTTTCTTTATAACTGTTAAAATAAAGTTTTTACAATAAAAAATTACACTTATACTAATTTTTTGTCCGTTATATAAAAGAATGAAAAAAATGTATGAATAAATTTCTTTACATTTATATTTATATAACACAGTATGTCTTGTGCAAACATACGCTAACAAAATGCGGTACTGCAAACTTTGACAGGTCATCATACCCACAAATAGATGTTAAGAATTTTATTTTTTTTTTTGGTATTTTGATTTAACATTATATTGATAAGAGGTAGATGAAGTTTTGAAACAATCTATTATTATATGAAGAAGTGGTTCCTATTATAAGTTAAATGTCAGAGAAACACAAACATCGATACCAATGACAGGTTCATAGAGGAGGACGGAGTAATAACAAAAGTTTAATAGTTATATTTAGGATAAAAAAAATATTAATAAAAATTGCCTTACCCATAAGTATTGTCACCTTCATTCTTTACTAAATTCTCCTCTGTTGTTGAAATTTCATGGTTTTTGAACTGCACATCTAACGGTTTAGGTTCAATGACTTCAAACGATTTTTCAAAGGAATGCTCTTCTGTTTCATCATTTTCTTGTTTGATTTGCAACATATTATACTGCTTCAAAACTCTGTAATTAACATTTAACTAAGTTGTATTTCTGTGCTATATATGCATAGAGGTTAATTAGGACGATTAACTACATAATTCCAACTATTTTATTTAGTAACAAATATTTGTAATAATAATGATATACTAAAGAAGACAGCTAATGGCCTAAGTTAACGAGGCTTAAATATATTTAAAAAAATAAAGAACAATTTAGTTTACATTATTTTAAAAATAAATGTATCTAATTTTTAATTATTTTTATAAGGTTTTAAGTATTTAACTATTTATGTACTACATTAACTATTAGGACATTGTATCTTTTTGGATACAACCAATAATTCCGGTTAGGAGATATACAACTGAGGTAAAAGTGTTTACCTAGTTATATCCAATAAAAGTTAGTTTATGGTTTAGTTTTAAGTTAGATTACTTAAAGTTTATTTCATAAAAATTGTCCATTTAACTTATAATACATTTTTGATTGTGTAAAAAAACTAATTTTACAGAAATTAAACAAACTCCAGTACTTATTAAATTATTTTTTTTTTATAACTATTAAAATACAATTTTTATAATAAAAAATGACACTTGTTTACACTTTTTGTCCATTATATAAAATAATGAAAAAAAAATGTATAAATGTTTTCTATATATTATTTATATATATATATATATATAATATATATAACACAGTAAGTCTCGTGAGGATGAACGCTAACATAAAGCGGTACTGCAGACTTTGACCGGTTATCATACCCACAAATAGATGTTTACAAGTTTATTTTTTTTGGTATTTTGATTTAACATTATATTGGTAAGAGGTAGATGTAGTTTTAAAACAATCTTTTATTATATAAAGAATTGGTTTCTAATTTAAGTTAAATGTCTGCGAAACAATAATATCGATACCAACGACGGGTTTATAGAGGAGGACGACATCATTACAAAAACTGAATTGTTTTATTTAATAAAAAAAAAATGGTAATAAAAATCGCCTTACTCATGAGTATTGTCACCTTCATTCTTTACTAAATTCTCCTCTGTTGTTGAAATTTCATTTTTTTTTAACTGCACATTTAACGGTTTAGGTTCAATGACTTCAAACGAGTTTTCAAAGGAGTGTTCTTCTGTTTCATCAGTTTCTTGTTTAATTTTCAACACATTATGTCGCTTCAAAACTCTATAATTAATATTAAACTTAGTTTTATTTCTATGCCATATATGCATAGAGGATTAATAGGACGACATGACTACCTAATTTTAACTATTTTATTTAGTAACAATTATTTGTAATAATAATGATATACTAAAGAAGACAGCTAATAGTCTAAGTTAACGAGGCTTAAATATATTTAAAAAAATAAAGAACAATTTAGTTTACATTGTTAAAAAATAAAAACCAACCAAGTTTTCAGTGGTGTATTTTGTACTTTTTAATCATTTAAAACGAAATATTAATTTACTTAAATTAGATGAATAACACAGCTGAATTAAATATATTTTGATTTTAAACTGTGTTTCATTCACCATTTCTCTTTACTTCTTATAACGTCGAGAATAATTGTTAAAACAATATCATTAATACTATTTTGAAAATGAATTAGGACATCAACAATTATATATATTTTTTTTAATTACGGAGGACGACATAGTAACAAAAGCCTAATTGTTTTATCTAGTAAAAAAAAAATGGTAATAAAAATCGCCTTACTCATAAGTATTGTCCACTTCATTCTTTACCAAATACTCCTCTATTGTAGAAATTTCATTGTTTTTGAACTGCACATCTAAGGGTCTGGGTGCAATGACTTGAAAGGAGTGTTGTTCTGTTTCATCATTTTCATGTTTAATTTTCAACATATTAAATAGCTTCCAAACTCTATAATTGACATTTAACATTAGTTGTGTTTCTATGTCATATTTGCATAGAGGTTGAATAGAACGACTTAATTACACAATTTTACTATAAGAATAATTTAGTTATCACTATTTGAAAAATAAAAACCCAATCGAGTTTGCAATGGTATATTTTGTTTTTTTACACATTTAAAACTAAATTTTAGTTTACTTAAATTAGATGAATAACACAAAACTACAAATATGACTTGTAGGTAAGAAGCTAACACGATAAAAATTAAAGATAGACGATAGATCATTTTGCCAACAAGATTAATTTAAAGTGGCGTTGATCCTGAGTCACTCAACTCAACTCTGAGTGAATAATAAGTAATAAAAAAAAACACAAATATATTAAGATTCTATTTACTCACAAGCAACAATATTCTGAGTGAATGGAAAACAGAAAACACGGCAATAATGTAAATAAATTAGAAATACAACGGTAGGTACTCACACAACGTAGAAACGTAAACCGCCGTCCAGGGCTGCTACTAAAAACTTATAATAAATGAATTACAGGCAAGACAAAACTCAATTGTAACGCAAATTAAAACGAAATAACGAAACACGGCGCAATACGTTAGGTATTTATCATGAAATTTAACAATATTAAAATTAAAAACTAGAGATTCTCACGAATCGGACCCGTAGCAACAATAATGAAAACAAGTTGTTTCTATGGCGCTAAATCAAATGTAACTAGTTATAATTCAAAGAAAGTCCGAGTGCATATAAAAAGTAATCTCAATTATTAACAACAACAAAATTTGTATTTAATGTAGGTTTTATAACGCGAACTGCAGGACAACGCCGAAAATTTTCTAGACAGATTTGTGATAATGTGTGTTTGTATGATAACGAGTGTGATAACGACTCGGGTGGAGGTAATCTTTCGCGCGTTTTCTGTGGCAAACAGATCAAATTCCCAGCTTCGGTTTCGAATCTTATTGTAAATTTACCTTCATCGTCATTCTATAACATGTATTAATGCGTTTACCTAAGTCTATATTCGTTGTGGAAACAGCTTTCGCCGACTTGTAAAATTACTATTTAACATTATAATTATTACAAAAAAAAAAATTATTTCTGTATTATCTTTTTCTGTACATTTTTTTATATAATGCAATTAGGTACCACGATACGGTATTATTATTCGGGAAGACAGAGAGAGACGCTTAATAACTACTTAACAATTTTACGTTTTGGTAATTTGAGTTTGTTTTTTTATTTCTGTAGGCTGACGGTTTGGACATTCATCAACTTGATTACAGTTTGCTTATTATGTTATTCTTTTTGAGTGTTCCCATTTGATTGACACGTTTGAATTGAAAATACAAGTAACGCCGTCTTGGTGGTAGATGATGTTGTGAGTCTACGGACAATTTCTTTGCCGACGGTGACGTAGTCGGTGGTCCTACGTGTCGTTTGAAGTTATTTTGACGGTATATCTGATTAATCGGTTTTAATCAGGGGTTTTTATGTAAGATATTACTATGTAATTTTGTATAAACTATAAAAGAGTTTTTATTAGAATGGACTGTGCAGTACATTGATGTATAACCTTACCACAACTTGAATGAATACATTTTTGACGTTTAATTAATCTGTGACTCTTACATTACCTATAGATGTTTAAACTAAGGCATGGTTGGCACAAGAGAAAAGACTCATGAAGTTTTTTAATAATAGTTCTGATAGTGTTGCTATCACAATTAAATGTAATGTTTCATACTGCCCAATAATTACTTTATGCCATAAGTACGTACTGTATAGTTTGCAATCAAAATAAAAGGCCAAAAAAATAAATAATCAATTTTGAAACCAATTTTTACTTATAAGATTTTATTAATACAAAATAATATTATAAGTGAGTACCACGATATTTTCAGCATAACATTACTAAAAGCAATAATATTTTGTCAAAAATCATTTGATTTTACTCTCTTGCTCTGTCAACTAGATGCCATGTTTTTTTTTTTCTGTGTCATATCTTACACAATGAAGTTCTCCCAAAGTAACAACAAAACGGTATATAAAAAATATAGTATTACAAATATATACCATAGGACTTAAGAGCAATATCATTAAAAGTAATCATATGACAAAATTCATCTGTTTGCTCTCCTGCCCTGTCCACTAATTGCCATTGATTTTTTCCTCTGTCATATCGTTCACAATGAAATATTCCTCCATTATTCACAAACACGAATAAGTCGTTTTTCATGACACCAACACCTGCATTTTATAATATTTATGAGTAAAAAAATGTATTATATTTTATATACTTGATTAAATATATACAGACTTGAGCAATCTCCATAGCAAACCATGTTCACGTTAGGCATTTCGTTCCATTTGAAATGTTGTAAATCAAACTTAAAAACTCGTCGACGGCATGCATTAGAACCACCAATGAGATAAATGACGTTATCAATTCTTGATATACTCATGCTAAAATTACATACCGGCATAGGATCGAGTTGTTTCCAGCGTTTCTTTTCAAAATCATAGTACTCTACAGTTGCAAGAGAACTACAATAACGTTCAGTACGTCCACCAAACTACAAAAAACAATAAAACTTGAATCAAATTCTTACAAACCATAATTATTTGTGAAATGAATATTTTACAATCATTTTTCATACAAATTAATAAAATATAAGTAGAAACTTGTTTTGTAGTTAGGCATGGTGTTTATGGTTAAATGGTTTTTTACTTACAACGTATAATTTATTATTAAATACTACAGCACTGCACAAGGCTCGAGCAGTGAGCATCGGTTCAGTAATTTCCGTCCATACTTTTGAATTTGTATCATAGTATTCTACAGAAGTCAAACAATTGTGATTTGAGTCATCATAGCCTCCAACCTTTATCGTAAAAAAAAAAATAATTTTCTTGTAAACAAGGTGTATTCGTTATGTTAACTACAATCAAATTAATACGTACAACATATATGTACTGCTTGTAAGTGCAAACAGCAAAATTTGTTCGTGGTTGATTCAATGGCCATGTAGAAACCCATTGTTTTGATTTTAACTTAAGATCAAGCTCATCTATAAGATTGGTCAATTCACCAGACTCGTTTAAACCACCAATGGCAAGTATTATCCCATTTTCAGAGACTACCATCGTTGCGGCTTTACGGGGAGGCAAAAAATGTAAATGTTCGCTTGATTTTCATCTTAGGTCATTATCGTTTCCATATACTTTACATAGGAACCCCCACCGTTTGAATGACCGTAATTGCAAAAATAATCTGAATACACATATATACAAATGTAAGTTGATACAAGCACATAACTAGTGCACTTATTGTGTACCATGTATAACATGTAAAAATCTAGTTTTAAAATGTCTACATACATTTGATGCTTCAATTTGAGTACATCTCCCTTGAGTATATGATGGTTTTGAATTTATGTAAGTATTAATGATATTTTCTAACATGCCTGTCTTAACTGGAAAAGCATAACAGTAATAATATTTATTCAAAAGACACATCATCAATATATTTCACCTATAGGCACTATTGTATATACAAACAGAGGGCACAATTTAGATTCAATGTTGCCCCGATTGGAAAATCAACAATACATACTTACCATCATTATTATTTCTCACTAATGGTTCATTATAAATCCTTTGTAGTCCTTTTTTTGAAATTAAAGGTAAACGTAACAATTTTATAAGAAACGGTAACAAGTCATTACGTTCGTCTGTATTAAAGCGTATCCAACCAATGATAAAATCAAAAATCTAAAATAAACTCATAAATTATTATTAAATAATTGTAATAGAAGCAACGTTAAAATAAGTAATTTTTTTTTAAGTTTCAACAAATATACCTTTTCCTCAGAATCAATTACTAAATCATC